TTATAGGCATTACTGATGCTGACAAAGTGATCGCTCAGGGACAGATAAAACACTATAAAATAAAGCATGAAATTGGATATGAATAATGCTTTCCTCCTGGAGGCATGGATGCTCCAGAATGTTTGTTCCACTAAAATCGGCCATCTCCATAGATTATTGGGCGCGTCGGTCTGGTCCCTGTAATGGGCCACTTTTAAAATCCCAACTTTTTCCGTGGCAGTAAAGGTGAATGCCATTTCCTGTGAGTGCACTTGTAATGACAAAATTCCACAGTGCGGCGGCTGTGATTGCGACGGCTTGCAGCTATTGCAGGACACCCCCCTCCCCCACCTCCTCACCCCGCCCACCCCCCCTCTCCCTTTTCTGACATTTCTATTATTGAGAAACAGCAACTCTAGCATGGCACTGCTGCTGGCCGCCTGCACTATATTCGCTCCAACTTAATCCCCCTGGCATTTCAATAGCCTCCTCCCTCTCTCTCTCCCTCTCTCTCTTTCCCATGCACATGCCAAACTCTTTAATATTTAATCCACTTTCGATGGGATTAATATACTGAGAGTTGGGTGAGATTTTTTTTATTGTGATCCAATTTTTGCTTGTTGATTTCTGTTGGCAGTGATGTGGGGATTTGTAATTTATACCATTTTAATTGTCAGCAAATTTAGAATTGTTTGCTCCTTCAATTAATTACAGACAAAATTGTGCAATCGAAGTAACAACAAAGAACTAAATTCTGTTTAATCTATGCTCGTTCTACCCTCAAAACCTAGAGTAAACCCTTATCTCTTCTCCAGGGGCTTTTATAACATCTCCAAACATGTTAAAGGGCCCATATTACATTATTTTTTGTTTCCTCATCAAAAACATACCTGTTTAACACACAAAACCATATTTAGGCTGAGTTCTTCTCTGAAACAGAAAACACTCTGTTCCACCTTGTTTTGTCATGTGCTGCTCCACTGTTTTTAAACTGCATATAATTTCACAATAATTACTAGGATGATTTCAGCCCTGGAATTGCCAATCTCAATTGAACAAAAGGTAAAAGGTAGCAGTTAATTTGAAAAGTACCACTACATGACATCACAAGGTGGAACAGAACATTTTGCGCTTTGAAGACATAGACGAATAAAGGGTTACTCAAACAAGTGTGAATGAAACGAAACACAACTCCCGGTATGTTTATGAGAAGGTAACAACAAAAATCCTAACATAACTAAAAGCTCACAAGAAACCACTTTGTCTAATATAGGACTCTTCATAAATGAGAAAAGACAAAATAATAAAAAAAAAAAATAAGATACTGATCATTTCATAGCTTGATCTAAAGTAAATAAGTTAGATTGTAAACATCTATATAAACTATATGTGTATGGTAATCTGACATAATATATTTGAATAGGGTCTCTACAGGTTAACTTTGCCTGCAGACAAATAATTGTGTCAAATAATCACAAATAATTTTTTATTTTTATTTTTTTTACCTTCTCTAATGGTACCGATTGGTGTGACGTTGGTGCTTGTCGACTTTGCACCCAGAAGGGATAGATGGGATATCTGCAGAGAAGGAGCTGGATACTAATGAACAAATAAATCAAACATCCTTTTTGGTAAAGAAGACGATCAAGGGCACTAATTGAATTGCGGCGTCGACGTACAGTGCATAACAACCGGCGCTATCACCTCACTGGATATTGCCTTTAATTTCACAGCCCCAAGTCAATTTCACACCCGGCAATCTCCATATGTTTATCTACACAAATTTAATTCCTCTTATTAGTGACAGCGCTCTGGCCACATGCTCAAGCACTTGTGAACAACAGACACACTGGTTTCGGCACGCAAACATCTTCCTGAATGAGAGCCTAGTCGTAGCGTGAGCATATTATAAAGTGGCAGCATATGCAAATTAACTTGATGAATAGGAAAATTGTGTTCTAGCAAGAAAACGCTGAAGGTAAATTTATTGGCAATGACAAATGTGAGAGATGTCTTATATGTGAGTGGGGTAATTATGTCGACTCAATTCTGCAGTCAATTTAAGTCTCAAGCAAAAGTACAAATTATGAACACTGTGATCAATATTTTAAGTTTCTGTCAAGTTCGCTCATTTCTTCATAGGTGCATTATGAACTTTTTTGGGTGGAGTATCTGCCGCCTGCTGGTAAATTAATCCTCTGCATTTTACCTCTTTAGTGCCACTGGGGCAAAGTGTCAGTAGCACCTCAGTCCATGATTTTGACCTGGACCTCAGGACAAAGGTAGCAGTATTTTTTTTTTTTTTTTTTGGTGGTGGTGTTTTATTTTTTTGTTTGTTTTTGTTTTGTTTTTTTTGTGAAGGTTAAAAGAGTACATGGGGAGACACATGCACACAAAGGCACCATGATCTGACTGAAATTTGAGACTTTCTTGGGGACAGTTAAAGATATAGTTTTCTTTCATGCAAACTTGAATAAAGGTAAGTATCTATCACCTACTGGTCTTCATGGAGATGTCACTGCTTAGCCTAGAATGTTCCACACTTGACATTAAAGTGATTTATTTCCATGAAGACACATAGGTGAGGTAGACTACTAGGCCAAGTTACTACCACTCGGTAATTAAGCATGTTTTTCAGGCAATAAAAATAGTAATTAAATAAAAGCAAGATGGATAAGTTTAATGACATACTATAGAACAGACATGTCACACTCAGGCCCGGGGGCCAAATTTGGCCCATGATATAATCATATTTGGCCTGCGAGATCATATCAAATATGTATTCAAGCTGACCTGCCAGCTACAGATAGACTATAGAGACATTATTTATTTAAAATTCTGTTAAGATTATTTTATATTATGCTTGTTCTGGATTTAATGTTTAAACAAAACTATTATTAAACATAAATTTTAATAAGAAAAGGTTTAACATTACATATTTTGAAAGAAGAGAAAACATGCAGATTTTTTTCAATAAATATTTAGGTTTGGCCCAGAACTTAGTCCCAGTTTTTAATTTTGGCCCGCTGTGAATTTGAGTTTGACATCCCTGCTATAGAGCATTCAGTGTATACAATCTTCATCCATCAGAAAAGTTACATAGCGCACCTTTAATGCACCTTTAATTCCTACATAAGTCGTCTTGCTGTCAGTCTCCCAGATGGAAAACAGAGGGATCATTACGGATATATTCAGGATATATTCTTGTGTGATCAAAATAAAGGCAAGTGTGGCTCTGGAGACTTGTCTGCCTAAGAATAGCAACAAAAACATTCACTTGCACAGTGTTTGAAGTAAACTTGTGAGGAGTGAAATAATGGAGACCACTTCAAAGCCATCACATAGACCACCCTACTGTATCTATTGCTCCACTGTACCTTCTAGTAATGGATCTGTGCGCAGTAATGACACTGGGAAGCGTAAAGTTTACATTATATTTTCATAAGCGCAGTATACTAAGAAGTCAAAGACAAAAAGTTTTATCAGTGAGATAGAGTTATGGTATTGTTAGAACATGTTTATTTTTTCCAGTTTATTACCCCTGCTTAAACAGTGCTAAAAGTATTCATAGGGTTAAAATGATTCCTTATAACTAATATATAATAACTTGGTTGGTCATTCATTTTTTTGGTCTCTAACTTTCTATTCCACCTGCGTCCCTGCTTCTTGTTGTTGCACTACAATCTGTTACCAAAGCAACCTTGTCCAGAATATGTATGTACAATATGTGAAGAGTGATAAGAGAAATGAAACTATGATTAGGTTTGACACATGAATGACTGTAGTCGTATAGAACATGAAATCTCCTCTTTATATTGTTTACCGCTGATGTGGTCCGGGAGTCATAGTGGGATTGGGAATCTTGTCGGGAAGGGATTTAGATGTGGAACAGAGCAGCCGGTGTGATTATTGGGAAACAGCGAGAGGGCTCAGTGCAGCAGCATGAAGAACACGATTTGTAATGTAGGAGATGCACATGCCATACAACGACATGTGAGCACAGGGGAAAAACCCAATGGTCTCTCTCTGAGTCTTTGTATGATGATAAGCAGAGGAGCCAAAATGCAGTATAACGCGGTCTCATCTGGACAGGCCAATGGGCTGTGACTTTTAGCCCCTCAGCAGAGAGTGGATCATTCTTCTGTCTACAAAGTCCCTTGGTGCAAACACGCCACAGCTGAGGCTAACTAAATAATGTTCTAAACTTGCTGGGCACTGTCTGAAAAGTGGCTTTAGATTTACAAGGAAATTGGGAAATATTTATTACTGTCTGGTTGTTTAGTTATATGTTATTTATTGTCAATCCACCACTGCTTGGCTTGTGGCTACATGCCTTAAATTACTGGGAAAAAAACATCCTCTGCAGTTTATCCACTCTTAAATGGCAAAGGGGCCATTTGGCAGGCCAGGGCAGATTTGGACCTATTCAGTACAAACACTGCAGTAGAATTATCCTTTACATAATTTATATAAAGGAGTACACAGGCAGAAACATGCGCACTCCTCTCAGAAAGGCACTATACTCTGAGCCAAACTTGGGACTTTCTTAGTTTTCTCTCAGGAAAGCTTGAACAAAGGTAAGTAACTATAATAAGTTAGTAAGTATAGCTCAGATACCATTAAGGCTAAACATTTTCTTAACAGAGTCAAATAAAAAGACTTACATGAAAAACAATATCCAGCTAACAAACCACTTCAAAGGCAGGTCAGTCTGTTTTGCCATGCACTTACTTCATTGTTAACAATGGGCAGTGTTAGCCTGAGGTTGTCCAGGCTAGAGAGTATGACTGGAGGTAGTGCTGGGAGTCTGTGCTGTGGAAATTAATGAGAAGCACTTAACGAGTAGATGCAGTGGAGGCAGCCCCTGAGCCCAGGTTTATGAATTGCATATAATCTTCCCTTGCCGCCAACTATTGGCCTAAAACTGTAAATGAGTACGTCCTATGGAGTAAGTCAGAGCACCTGCTGCAGTCACGGTAGGACACAGAGCAGGGCACTCACACATTCAGGGCACACTGTACCAGGGATCCCTGCAGAGATTTGGGTCAGGGCTTCCAGGATTTTCCAATATCCAACAGCCATTATAGACTGCTTTGAAATGAAAAGAAATACATCCTTTTTTCTTCCATTGTACAGTATTGTATATGGAAGTTCTACACATGCTTCAAAAAAGTCTTTATGTCTCATTTGAATTCCTGAGCCATGAGTCTGAGAGAGTTGGTTCGTTCTTCTTAATTTAGACTCCCCTGGTCCGTGGAGAGGGGACCACATATGGTGCCTAGTCGGAGTATGGGCGTGGGACCAGCCTCTGGGATTGACTCATTGATTCCCTTAGGCTCTCAAGGCTTGTATTGAGAGCCACTAGGCAGGTTTCAAGGGTTCTCATTACTGGCAGGTACATGTAGAGCCCCTCGCTGCCGCCTTGAGCTGTCTGAAGAAGAGCCCCTAATTGAGCGCTGCACCCGAGATGATGGATGGCCTTGTTGCAGGACGCAGATGGCTCTTAGCAGGGGGTCCGGCTCTCCTTTGGGGTGACCCAGCTGTGCCCCCGGACCACATGTTGACAACCACAACCTATTTGTGGCGTAACATAAAGCAGCAAAGAGTCATCAATAACGGTTTGGCGGAGCGTGTACTGTACGGCTTGGAGACGTTGCACTTGTTACATGCAATCGATAAAGTAGCCGAGTGTAAAACTAACTGCTTCAGCAAATGTATCCATTCATGACTGTGCAAAGACGTTGTTAAGGGGTGCTTGGTCTGACATCTTACTATACATCATGCCTTGCAACTGGTGAACTTAATATTTTCTTATTATTGACATAATTTTTAATACATTGTGTGGTTGCCATTTGTTTCTATGAGCAAAAGGCTAGTTACGTTATTCTCTCAAAAATAAATCAATGGAAAACATTGTGGACTTTACATGCAGCATGATTTAATATATATCATGTTAAATGGCTCTAGTTTTTCTTCTTAAGTGTTTAGTCTGCCACTTATACTGTGCATCAGCCCCTTTGAGAGCTGGTTTCTGATAAGTGTACCATTCTGTGGTCAATGCTGGTATAATGAAGGCATGAGTTGCGATGCATCTGTAGCTGTATTTGGAAAGGGGAGGGGACACTGGCAACAGAGAGGTCAAAAGCGCTCACTGAGGTCACCCATCTCCACACTGGCCTTTGAACAGGCTTTGGCCTCCTGCACCGGCTGGCCCTCGCTCTCCTGTTTCTACTCGCACGTCTAATCAGAGAGCGTGGTGCTAGGTCTGCTCCATCAAACCTGAATAAAACATGGAGCAAAAGATGTAAACGGGGGACGTGGTGGGGGTGGGCATGTGCTGCTGTCTGGGCCCGCTGGTACCAACACTCCAGCCATTCCCCACACGTGTCCTCATACTAATGACAAGCCTAAAAGGAGGCAGAGGGCAACCTCTTTTCATAATCAAAGTGTTTTTATTCATGACATGTCTATTAATTAGTTTGGAATAGTCAGCAGCATGCGCTCAGGAGAATTTAAATGGGCTGAAGAGGATTTGCCCTTTCTGCGGGGAGCCAATGATTTCTTTATAAGGGAGGAGGGACGTCGAAGACAAGGAGGTAGACAGGGTTAGTGTATGTGCGCAGGTGTGTCTGTCTTCTGTCAATGTGAGCCAGTCACGGAGCCTATAAATCACACTGTGGAGTCAAATTGAAGCTGTCAGTGGCATTTGAACCATTACAGAGAGTTTAAACTGTGAGGTGTAGAGCTGATTGTGTTTGTTACAAACACACAGATCACATATAAAAATGACCTCTTGTGATCAGCACAACTAAGGGGACTGGGGATAGAACTAATCAAACTAAAGCAATGGAGTAGATGGCAAACAATAGTCAAACTGCTAAGGAAAAACTATTCCATACTGACAAATCAGAGAGAAATGTGGCAAAATAAACCATAATGCTAAAATTATGTTTTATTTTACAATAACCCACAGGGACAAGAATAAAACATGGCAGAATAGTTACCAAAGAAGTTTAAAGACTGATTGCTTGAAATAGAAAGCCACTGAGTTCGTCTTTGTTTTTCTTGTTGACTTTTAGCCTGAGTAGCATTTGTCATGTACTCCTTTTAAACTGTGAACAAACAGCATGCTGCAAACCCCAGTTAAACAATAGGAGTCAGTACACAGTCGGTGTGTCTGCGTCAAACAAACACGTTGTATTGACACTTGTCGGGACATGATCAGCACTGATACTTTAGTCGTGCTGAAATATGGAACAGGAGGCAAATTGTTTGTTAATTCTCATTTCACACTCCCAATGTGAAGCCAGCCAGGCACAGAGCAGCGCTCCCGCTACATGCACAATGGTCTGGCTCACTGCGTAACATCAAATTATCTTTCCCCTGGCTTAATTATTCATTAAGCAAACATAATTAATTTAAGAAGCGTCTCTCATAGGAAGTGTTTCAAATAAAGGCCAGGACAGTTTTCCGCTGAACAATTAACAGAGCAAACTCCACAGCCCGATACAATGTAATATCAGTGTATTACAACACTATACAAAGCAATGCACCCAATGCATCTTAAACACATGCAGGTTTCTGAATAAATTATTTTTCATGGTTTATTTTTGATATTTGTCTGTCATAGATATGTGTGTACTAGAACTCCAACCTTTGTGATAGAGGGTGAATGCTTGACCATTAAGCAGCAGCTGGCCTCCATTTACTCATTTCATAAAACTCTTCCCTACCTGCCATCAAGCACAAATAAAAGCAAAAGTAAGTATTCCTACTCATGATTTACAGAAGACAACAACAATTACAAATTTTAAAAACTTTACTTGAGAATATGCTCACGATGACGATCAAATGATAAAAGATGATCCAGTGCAAAGTTTGCACTCTCCTGATACAACTTGGACCAAACTCTAGGCAGAATAGGAGTGCAGCTGCTCCGTGCACAGCCTTTACTTGCACAGATCATTTAACCGCTCCCATTTAGTCTCAGTGTGCCTGACGAAGCTCGTGCGACCGAAACCATCCCAGACCCCGACAGCAGGATTTTCTTCACAAGCCACTCTTGGCCAATCCAGCTGCACCGTGCCGCACACTTAGCACAAACCCGGCCTAATTAGATGGTGTGCGTTCAGTCACTGTTCGGTCCTTTATCTCCTCTTTCCTTTCCATCAATCTGGGGGATTTAAACACAAGCATCTTGGAGAGAAAAGGTCATTCTTTGATGTGCATCCTTTATGATTCCCAGTGTTCTGATCATGAGGGGGTTTGTCAGTGAGCAAGCCCACCCAATCCACAGCCAGCACAAACTCAAGCACACCACGCTCAAGTGGCATTCCACATTCATTTGTGTAATGGCACAGCAGCTATTTCAAGTCAGAGCTTTGACCTCCCTCAGTTTATGCTTATTATTATAACTATACTATCATTAGAGTAGCATTACTCCTCAAATGCCAACCCCCTAATTTTGGTCGAAGCCAAAATTTGAAGATTTTGACTATAATTTTTAAAGCTCCAAGATTGTTATTTAATTAACTAGTTTGATGTAAAAAAAAACATACATGCCTACTTAAACTGCATTTAATTGCATACTGTTTTTTTTCAATGTGTGTTTTAAATATATTTGAGAAGTGGTTTTCAAAATAAAATTAGTTGGTTAGTAGTATTTGTCCTTCCTTCTTCTTAGTCATATTACCATGGAAACTACAAGATTTATTCCCGGGGGATCTATTCCAACACGTCTACCCTGAGGAGTCTGTGAATAGGCTGGATATGACACCTCTCAGCACGGTGTCTCCTGATCAATTATTTTGGTTTTATTCTGAAGCTTGAGCAACACCAAAGGCTGCAATTTACTCTCTCTTAACCTATTTAAGATGCTCTAATGTAACTAGTTTCTTTGGCTGTAGTGCTTTAAATTGACTATCCTAATCTGGTTGGACAGCCTGGACTCGGTTGTGAAATGAAAAATGAACTCACAAATCCAATTGGCTCATAAACCCTGAATCCAGCCAGTCTGAGGTGCATGTAGTAAAAGACAAATGATAAATATTGTTTTGTTTTTGTGTACAACCTGAAGTGTGATCATATTAACTTTCTGATGACAAAGAAGTTAACGCTAAATAAAACAAGTGAATTTCAACAGATGGTATACCCTATTCTTGGCACCCAGAACTGTGTAAAATCACATTCTGTGTTGTCTCCTATAAGCCATAGGGAAAGCTGTATGGGCCCTGGGTTGATGTGGAATTGATCAACAAGGCTTTAGAGACAAGCTTAAACTTTTACAGTCCAAATGATACTGAAATCAACCCATCCCATTGTAGAGAAATATTGTTGAGAACACCTTTTAGGTCACATGACCTCCTGTATCCAAAAATAGTTTGGTGAATAAAGCTGTGGATCATCAGGCAGTGGATCATATTTGTCTCTGCTGGTGTTAAACACAGCTAGCCGCTAACTCCTCAGTAAAGACAGCTTCACTTCACTGGGGCATTGCCTCCTGATGGTGAGCAGGGCTCTGGACCACAGCCAGGGAGCGTCCCATAGTCTCTCAGCACAAACAGCTTTGTCAAACTCAGTTAGCTGCCTCTAAGGAGAGGAGCACCTCTCTTTAGTATTATACTTCACGTATTCACAGCATGCTCTGCCCCAGCCTCTTCACCATGCACAGTGCAGCAGAAGTAAACAGTGGTGTGCGTCAGGTGCGTCAGTTGCAGGCGGCGGGTGCACTGTTGACATGCGTCCTGTGCACACGGCTCAGCACTCACACACTAGGCTTCATTTACAGAAGGTAATTGCACTGGAGCCAAGTGCGCCGCTCTTCTGATGGGATTCTTCCAGTTTACTAAAACTCAGTCTACATTTGTTTACTCACCAGTCTGACAGCTCCAAAAAGAGTCCAGCACTACACAATTAACCAGTCCTGGTCATGGCTGTTGACATGACAGTTGGCATTTGTTTGAGCTCAGGCCTTCAAACAGACAATAAATAGCAGGAGCAGGTTCAAATTCCTCCAGAGGAAAACATAAAAATCAAGTCAATATTTGTCAAAATATTTGCGGATAGCAAAATATTCCTCCAAA